CAGCGTGAAAAATCAAAACCAAACAGCATTAATTACTAAGGACCCCCAGATATGGTACGGGGACCCCCCAAAAATGTAAGAGCCGACCACCTCCCATTAGATCCTTGGTACTGCCATTGCGCTACGAAGGAGGGCAAGGCGCGCGCTGGGTTACCACTAAAGAGGTCGGTGACCGATTATTGTCAAGGTACCGCGTAGTCCGGAGGTGGTTCGTACCGCCGCTTACATCCTTAAGCCTCACCTTACTTATAAAAAGAATGGTACCGGGGACCCCCAAAATGGTACCGACCACCTCCAGATCGGTACTGACCATGGCTACCAGAGGAGGGCAGGCCGGTACCACTAGGTCGGTGACCGGTACCGATTTGGAGGTGGTTGGTACCGCCGTTTACATGCCTAGCACCTCCCTTTACCTATAAAAAGGCACTTCTCCTGCTCATTTTCTCACCTCCTTTGCTTGATTGAATGGTTCTCAAGCATCAACAACTCTCTCTCTCTCTCCCTCAAAAGCGATTCTAAGGCTATAAAGTCCAATTTATGCTCTTTTTTCTTAGTTGAGTCAAAATCCAACTTGGTTCTCAAACGTCGATCCTTTCTACTTTACACACACTTTGGTCTATCTTAGACTAAAGCTACAAATTAATTAATTTAATATTAATTAATTTAAGAATTAATTAATAATCCATTAATTAACAGTATTATAAAAACTATACTAGGGTCCTTGTGCCCATCCTTTGCTTTATTGGAGCAAGACTTGATCTCCTTGATCGAGAAAGCGAATCGTGGAACTCCGAAGCCGCACGGGCGCACAAACTGACCTCACAACCCCGACCAAATGTATGGTATAATCACTAAACTCAGACCTTTGTCAATTCAAGCTTGGTTTGTCCGACATTCAATATCTGTCAAGCCTGGTCCGTCTAACATCTAATATCTTTTATGCCTGGTCCGTTCGGCAACCAGTGGATGTAAGCCTGGTCTGTCGGGCACCCTTCAAGCCCATTCTAAGAATGGCAAAATTCTACCATCATAGGCAAAAATTAATCTACCATCATAACTCGATGAAAACTTCGTGACGCCTTGATACCTCATACAAACGATGCGGTAATACAAACGAGGTATGAAGGCATACCAATATATTTCAATCTAGGTAGCAGGCTCTCGACTGAACTAACCGGTCGGGACTTAGGAAAATGTGTCGCATGACCTAAAATCTTCGATAAACGAGACTAGAGTCGGGCTCCCCTCCGAATTACACACTTTTCAATTAATTATGCTTTTAATGTTTTTTTCATAATTGTCATGCATTATTAGTATGTTCATGCATCGATAAACTGATATTCATGCAAAATACAATTTTGATTTCTTGATTATAATCCAAACTACCAATTCATACGAAAGAACCCGAAAATCTAGTTCCCGAACCCAATGATTTGAGGCTAGTGCATTTTATCCTAAAAGGCAAATTGAAAATGGAGTCAAACACTAGGTTTTTTCGTTAATCTTTTCCCAAAAAATAAAAACAAATTAAGGAGGCGACTCTAATACACCACACACAGTCAAAAGCACTCCAAAGAGCCAACCCGACACACTTAAGTGCTAAATCGAGCCAATCACAATAAAAAGGAATCGTAAAGAGATCCTCTTAGTTTTCGTAATGAACCCATCAATGGGCTTGTTTCGATTAATTCTGTCCTTCAGATCTTTCCTATGGCGCTCGATTGGGCACGCACACCTATGTTTTTTTTGTGCATTATTTCTGTAAAACCAATTTCCACCAAATTTCCGGGTGCAAGTGGCTTTATCCTCCAAGTACATGGTCCCTGATACTCCAGGCCCCACCTTCATAATGATCACGTGAATACTAACCCACAATGAAACTTGTCGGGTCAAATGCTTCAATAATATTAATCTTCACTTTTAATCTTCATATTGGACGAGACTTATTTGGCCATCATATTGTTAATCTTCCTTGGATGCTTCAATGGAAGTGTTACTATGAAACTAGAGACGTGATGGGATGGAAATCCAAATATTTTTATACTTGATATGAATACAATGCACATGATTGTAATTAGGAATTTAAAATTTTTCTTTTTTTATTATATGATTGTAATTGGTGTTTTTTTTTTAAAAAAAATGATTTTTCCTTTATTTTTTTGTCTTTTGTTGGATTTTTTAAATTTAAAATTTAACATTTAGTATTAATAATTAAGTTATATTTTACTAATTAAATAATTATATTATAAATAATTTAACTAATTAAATAATTATATTAGTAAATAATATTTTATCATATATTATGCGCATGTGATTATTTGAGTTATAAAAAACTTTTATGTGTAATAAAATTATCTAAAATAAAAAGATAATGTTTAATTCTTATTGGAAATTGCAAATTCTGACACAACTTAGTTAGGATTAATGTCAAGTCTATAATTTTATTTTTAAATAATTAATTTGCATACAATTTTATAACACAAGTAATTAATAATTGGACAAAATAAATCTTATAATACATACTAAATACAATGTATATATTATAAATATGAATGGTTTATAAATTATAAGTTACAAATTACTAAAGTAACCCGTGCAAAAGGCTAAATCTCAATCAACCTTAAGAAAATGAGAGAAAATGTTATGTTGACATTTTTGAAATGTTATTATATTGGCCAAATTTATGAGGCTTAAATTGTGCCGTTTCACTTCCAACCATAGAAATTATTGAATCTGTTGAAAATTCACTGTTTTTTAAATAAGATTTTATAAAAAAACTAAAATTTTAAAATGGTATTGAAATAAATAAAATTATGATTGATGTACTGGATTTATTTTAATATAATTTTAAATTTAATAATTGATAAATTTTTTTCATATATGGACACAATAAATTTATTTTGTTATTTAATACTGTTTTATTTATTTAATACTGTTTTATTAGTTAAGAGATTTTTTAATCATTTTATTTTTTTTAGAAAAATAAAGCATGCTTTCTGATTTTTTTTAAAAATATTTTTTGAGAACTTTTTACATAGAAAATACACTTCTTTAAAAAAAATCACAAACTGTGATTTTTAAAATTTAATTTGTACATTGTTTTTTTTTTTTTTTTGCATCCAGTATCCTTCGTATCCCAGAACTAACAGTACCCATCAATGTTGCTCACACAATCATCCACGTGATTTTGCTACAAGCACAGAAATATCAAAATGCAAGGAAAAAAAAAAAAAAAAAAAAAAAAAAAAAAAAAAAAAAAAAAAAAATTGAAACATCAATATCAACGTTTATGTGGCTCACCTTTGCATTGCGTCATTACTACACGTGACTACATCTTCCTCAACAGAAATTCTTAATAAGGGGACGCGTCGAAGAATATAATTAAAAAAATTTAAAATCTATCTCACATCAAAAGTCAAATTCAAATGATGATGCTGATAACTGATTTACCATTCAGGCATAGGTCCACCCTCCCTTGTGGTTAGAAATGACGTAAAACGAAAAAGGACCACAAGTTACTAGAAATCCGTCGCTTATTGGTTATTACAGGACCACAATTTAATTTACTTTAATTCTCTACAGTTGTTTTTGGGCTAGTATAAAATGGTAAGCCGATGTGTTCCGTTTTCGGCATAAGCAAATTAAAATGTCTGCTCAAGCTTTAGCAGCTCCTCCTTTAAACCAAAATACCAGTTCCAATATTACCCGGCGCACGGCAAATTTTTCCCCGGACATTTGGGGAGATCGTTTCCTTTCATATGCCTCTGAATTCACGGTTAATCTTATTTCTACTTATGAATAGCATTACTTCATTTTTGTATGTTTTTCTGTGTGTTTACTTTTACTATTTTGATAGTCTTTATATCTATTACAAATTTGTATATATTTATTGGTTATATTTTTGTGTATTATTTTCTTGTGACTGAGGTTATAACTACTTGATATGGTTGTGACTGAGGTTATAAATATGATACTTTAGCGGTGGATGGTGCTAAAAAAGGAAAGAAGCCAGCGAAGAATTTCTTTAAAGGAAAGTTATTGTTTGTATATCAGTGAGGATATTGCTATGAATATAATAAAATAATATATCAAATGATCGTAAAATTTTCCTTCAAAAATTTTTTCACAAAACATATTACTTCACATTGATATTAATTTAATAAGGGGTGAATCATTAAGCAAACTTCAAACTTTGCGTGTAATTTTAATTGTACCTTAAATCTAACTTTTTTCTACTAATACTCTGAATTTGAAGTTTAATTACAATAGCACTTTAATCTCAAATTGTACCCAATTTTATGAATAAAGTATTATTTTCATGAGGCCTACGCTCTTTCTATGGTCGGGTTAACCAACTCATCTTAACACCCTAATTTAACCTTCTCCCCAAATTAGACTCCTTCCCTACCACTAATGCTTATAAATAAATAAATAAATATTTATATTTATTTATATATTTTAAATATTTATTTTATATATATAAATAATATATTCCATCAAATATTTTTATTTATTTATATAATATTGATAGCAAGTAATGGTTCCCTAAAAGTGGAAATTCGGTATAATTTAATATTAGAGTGCTATTATAACTAAAGTTAGAAATTCGGAGTACTAGAAAAGAAAATTGGAAAGGTATAATTAAAACTACCAGCGAAGTCTGGGGTTTTTTTAATGATTTAACCTTTAATAAGAGCACATGTTTGAAATAAAAGATTCATATAATCAACTCCAACTAGTTTGGGACGAAGGTTTAATTGTTGTTGTTTGTTGTTGATTGAGGTCCAAATCTAAGCATGGATATACAGTGGGGGCAATAGGGCATTTGTCATGAAGACCCGACCAAAAAAATTTAGTGTGCTCCATTGCTACCTACAATTTAGTGTCGTACACTCTCACTGCTCCCTTGTAGTTCTTTTAAATGTTTTTACTTGTTCAGAAGAAGTTTTGAGAGATTTCTAATGCACCAAATTTTGATTCTCTTTTATTTGTTTGCATAGAATATCAACAATGATATGGAAGAACAAGTTCAGAGATTAAAGGAGGAAGTGAATATGGAAGAACAAGTTCAGAGATTAAAGGAGGAAGTGAGAAGGATGATAATTGCATCAACTCATGAACCCTCAAAGGATTTGAATCTTATTGATTCGATCCAACGCTTAGGTGTGGCTTACCATTTTGAAAATGAGATTGAGGAAGCATTGCTCCATATTCTTTGCTCTACAGATAATTATAATGACCTTCACAGTGCTGCTCTACGCTTTCGATTACTTAGACAACAGGGTTTCAATGTCTCTTGTGGTATGTTCTTCTCTACTTGTTTGTTGTGTATAGAAGGTTTTAATGTGTAATGCAAATCTGGATCGAAGTATATACTTCTCTTTATCTTTTTCTTAATGAGTACCTCAATCTAGAAGTATATTTGTATTGATACATACAACCTAAATTTATTATCATATTTTTAGAGTGCCAAATATGAGAGGCTATAACAAAACCCTTTATCTAATATATTAAAAATAAATTTTAAAATTTTATTGAAGATGACATCTACCCGTTTCTATGTATCTGTGGTATTAATAGATTTAAGGATTCATAAAGAGTGGCTCAAATGATGAGATACATTTGAGTTCAGTGGAAGATCTCTATAAAGTTAGAGGTTTGATTCGTGAAATTAAAAAACAGGAGGCTATCACGGAATAATTTCATACTAAAGAGCATTTATCACAATAATAATAATAATAATAATAATAATAATTTAGATTCAAAGCCTCTAATCTCTAACTTCGTTTTAAATCCTAAATTTTAATCATTAGTATATCATCCATAGTTCCTACTGTTATTAATAATTAACATATTGCTTATGTTGTATCATGAAACAGATGTGTTTAACAAGTTCAGGGATAGCAATGGGCAGTTTAATGAAACACTTAAGAATGATATACAAGGAATATTAAGCTTATATGAAGCTGCATATCTCAGAGTCCATGGAGAAGATATACTAGAGGAAGCGCTTGCCTTTTCTACAGTTCATCTTAAGTCCATAGCTAATGCCCATACGCGATCTCCTTTTGCTGCACAAGTAAGTCGTGCATTAAAGCAACCAATACGCAAGGGCTTGCAAAGGCTGGAGTCAAGGCATTATATCTCCATGTACCAAGAAGATGCTTCCCACAATGAAGTACTACTGACCTTTGCAAAGTTGGATTTTAACGTCTTGCAAAAAGTTGGATTTTAACGTCTTGCAAATGATGCATCGGGAGGAGTTGAGATATATCTCAAAGTAGGTTCTCTCTATTTCAACCACTCTATCAGTTTTTAGGAGAAATTTTTAGGTAGACTCAGTAACTTCTAAATCAAAACAACTAGGTTTTTTATATCTAATCATACGAAAAACGTGAAAGAATTAACATTAAATAAGCTAGAAAAAAAAAAAAAAGCAAACTGTTGATGTGGCTTTATTTTATTAGATGGATGTATAGCTGACGTGATAGACTAAATCTACCTTAGACTTTCACTGTGTAGACACATTAAGTGGGTCAACCATGGAAGTGAGATCCACCCAGACCACGTATTTGGTCTATTGTGACATGAATCCAAGTAAGTTTTTTCCCCAGAGAATATATGTGATGGTCCTCTCAAATAAGGATTTATAAGGCCCATGTAAAATGTGAGTGGATAAGCATGGACAATAATTTATAAAATCGACCGAAACAAATGGATTGGTTTATTTCGGTGGTTTTGATCTTAATCGGAAAATTAATTTTTTTAATTTAAAATTTTAGAAATCAAAAACTTAGAAATAAAATCGGTCTTTTAATCTTTTTTTTGTCCTTGATCTATGACTCACCATGATCCATCACATATGGAGTGAGACTGAATATCTAAGTCAAAATTCACTTTTGCACAAAGCTCATTATTCTAACGTTTTTTCTTATTACAAACAACATAATAATTTTCTTTCAGCAGTATATATAAGCAGTAAATATATATATATATATATATATATAATATAAATAATAAATATATATATATATATATAAATATATATATAATATATATAATTATATATAATTTTCTTGAACTTTTTTTCAGATACAGAAAATCTTTTGATAAAGAAGGATTGTGTTCGGCAATAGTTTTTTAAATAGTTTTTTTAATGTTTTGACTAATCAAAATGCTAAATATTGTTTTTTATAATGTTCGATAATATAGCGTTTGAACTAATTTTTAAGGTTAATTAAAATAGCCTTTTGTAAAAAGTTAATTCATGTAACTTTTAAGTTTTAGCATTTTATAAAAAGTTATTCAAACAGCTAACACTTAAACACTACTAAAACATCTAACAACTACCAGAACAACTAATTTTCCGAACAGACCCAACAAATTGCTACAGTAGCATGAACAACAATTTGAGAAAATTCCTAAAACATTATTGTGAACTTTTGACTTTAATAAATTGTCTTCTCTATTATGTTACTTCAGGTGGAGGAAAGATTTAGACTTCAAAACAAAGCTCCCCTTCGTACGCGACAGAGTGGTAGAGTGCTACTTCTGGACAATAGGAGTGTAATTTGAGCCCCAATATAGCCCAATATAGTCTTGCCAGAAGGTTTTTAACCAAAGTAATTGCAATATCATCAGTTATAGATGATATATATGATGCATATGGTACACTTGAAGAACTTATAATCTTTACCAGTGCAATTCAAAGGTTTGGCTCATGTGCATCATCTATATGTTCAAAGTTTATTTTGGATAGTGGTGCGGAGCTAGAAATATTTTTCCGTGGGTCATTATTTAATTTGATTTTTAGTGAAGTTAATTAGATTAAATATCCTAAAATTTCTTACTTAATATTTTTTTAATTTTTTGATCAATTTAATCATATTTTATAAATATTTTTTTAAAAGTTGAATTGGTGAATTTACCCGGTATTTGGGTTAAGTCAAGATCATTATAGAACCTAACTTTCTGAAATCATCTTTTAGGTGGGACATTGCTTGCATGGATCAACTCCCAGAGTACATGAAATTGTGTTACAAGGCATTTTTAGATATTTATGACGAAATGGAGAGAGAGTTATCCGAGCAAGGAAGTTCTTCCTACATTCACTATGCCAAAGATGAAGTACTTCCCTTAATGCCTCAATTTTTAGTGATGAACATTCAATTGGTTTACTTAAAATTGAATCGAATTAATATAAATAAAATAAAATAATTTTTTTATAAAAAAAAAATCAAATTAAATTGAATCGTTTATAAAATGGAACTGAACCAAATCATTTAGTTTCAATACTTTTCAAATCAAATCCATTTGGATGGAAATTAAGATTTTTAAGATTTTAAATTTTATATAATAATCTAAAAAAAATTTAATTTTTCTATCAAATTCAAAACCGAACTGTACTTTTAAAAAAAATGGAACTGAAATAAATTGTGGAATTCCAATCTATATTATCGTTATTTGGCATTTGTATTTTTGAAATGATTATTATGTGTTCATTTGATTCTTTATTCCCTAGATGAAGAAATTAGTCCAAGCCTACTTAGTTGAAGCCAATTGGATGAGTAGAGATTATATACCAACAATGGATGAGTACATGAGCATCGCCCTAGTAACTGGTGGTTACCCTCTTCTTACAACCACATCTTTTATTGGCATGGGAGATATTTCAACAAAGGATGTGTTTGACTGGTCTTCTAATGGCCCTAAAATTGTTAGAGCTGCATCTGTTATTGCCAGGCTCATGGATGATATTGTTTCTCATGAGGTATGCGCTTATACACTTTGCTCTATAAATAAATTTACTTTTATACTTTTTATGAAACAGTTTGTGTCACTTTTAACTTTTATTATCTACGGAACTCTTTAACTTATAAAATTATACTTAGTGAACACTTTAATTGACTATAAAACACTTCAACGTGCAAAATTAAATCATTAAACGCATAGTTAAGAAATATGAAAATTAGATCATTATACTTTTTATGAAACAGTTTAATTGACTATAAAACACTTCAACGTGCAAAATTAAATCATTAAACGCATAGTTAAGAAATATGAAAATTAGATCATTATACTTTTTATGAAACAGTTTAATTGACTATAAAACACTTCAACGTGCAAAATTAAATCATTAAACGCATAGTTAAGAAATATGAAAATTAGATCATTATACTTTTTATGAAACAGTTTAATTGACTATAAAACACTTCAACGTGCAAAATTAAAAAACACTTCAACGTGCAAAATTAAATCATTAAACGCATAGTTAAGAAATATGAAAATTAGATCATTATACTTTTTATGAAACAGTTTAATTGACTATAAAACACTTCAACGTGCAAAATTAAAAATTGTATTAACCACATATCGTATTTTATATATGAAAATGAAAAACCATAAAAATTATTATTGCTAAAATAGCAAGGATTGAAATTACATAAAAAGTGAAATTTAAGATATTCCAAGGTCGATTTTGAAATTAAAGGTTCCATAAGATTTTTATATTGTCAAAGTTTAAGGGTTAAATTATAAATTTGGTCTTTCATAATTATACTAAATTAAATTATTATAAATTGACTAAACCAAAATTTTTTAAGATAAAAATCAAATTGAACTGATTACCACAGAGAATCAAAGCAAACTAGTTAAATTTGATCAGTTCAGTTAAATTCTTAGCTAATTTTTAGGCGAATTCAAGATTGTTTTTTGGATTTAATGAAAATCGAACTGAATTGGAAAAAAATTAATCTTTTCTATTAAAATCAAAAATCAAATTGAATATTTTAACAACGGAATCAAGTTAAATCAATCCAATCATGTTAGATCAATTTTAATTTTAATGAACTATGTTGACTATTAATTCAAATAGACAATTAATGTTCATTTTAGAGATTCAACCTACTATTTAAAAAAATATATATATATTATCTTGGATTTCAAAATTTTATTGGTTCTTGTAAACGATAGATGGTAAATGGTAAATTGTCTTGGATTTTTGCAGTTTGAGCAAGCAAGAGGACATGTTGCCTCTGCTGTTGAGTGCTACATGAAGCAAAATGGAGTATCAGAAGAAGCAACACGAGATGAGTTCAATAAACAAATAGTTAGTGCTTGGAAGGACATTAACGAGGCATGTCTTAAACCCACTGAAGTACCACTGCCAATTCTTACACGTGTAGTTAATCTTGCACGTGTTATGGACTACCTATACAAGGACGGGGATGAATATACTCACAGCATGTCTTAAAAGCCCACCTGAAGTACCACCTCAGTGCGATTCTTTACGAGCGTTAGTTAATCCTTGGTCACGTGTTATGGGGACTACCTAATAACAAGGCAAGGCATGTCTTAAACCCACTGAAGTACCACTGCCAATTCTTACACGTGTAGTTAATCTTGCACGTGTTATGGACTACCTATACAAGGACGGGGATGAATATACTCACACAGGAGAATTGATGAAAAGTAGCATTACATCGGTGTTCATAGATCCTGTGCAAATATGATCTTACAAGAGGAGTTTACCTATTTTCTATTTCCTACTCTATTGTATCTGAAGTGTATGATACAATCATACATTGATTTATGCCTCAAAAGTCAAAAAAACTATGTTTAATAAGGAGGGGATTTGAAAAAATGAAGTTTCTCTTATGATATTTTATTTACTTAATTTGTTTAATAAGGATGGATCTTGGAAAAATGAAGTTTCTCTTATGATATTTGATTTACAAGTTAAAACCATAAGCCTAATTTTGTTTGGTTTAGTTTCTTTTTTATGGATGTTATTACCTTTTGGGTTTATGTTGTGTAAAAAGGAAAAATCAAGGAGAATGGTTAGCATTTAGTAGGTGCTTCAACATTATTTTGGTTTTTTTTTTCCCTTTTAGCAATTTATTACCTTTTGGGTTTATGTTGTGTAAAAAGGAAAAATCAAGGAGAATGGTTAGCATTTAGTAGGTGCTTCAACATTATTTTGGTTTTTTTTTTCCCTTTTAGCAATTTGATTGAGGTTGAGATTTGACATGTTTATGGTGCATATTTAGAAAATTTTGAAACTAAAAAATTCTTATAAAATAATAAAAAAATTGAGAGAAATGTAGAGAGAAAAATATGAGCGTCATATTTATTAATGAGAAGCCACATTTGCATAGGCACATGAGTGGTGCCTTAATTAGGAAAATAGACTCTTGCACAAATTAGAAAGACTTCTCACTAATCAGGAATATAGACTTCTAATCTATATAGGACATGTTGGAATTTAAGTGTCCAATATACTCATATATAAATTGAAATTACAAAAAATAGAATAACTTACAAATTCTCTTGTCTGCTTCCATTAATACCATCTTGATCCCAAATGCTATGTTGAACTAAATAGAAACAGCATGCACAATTGTCCATGGAACGGTTAGGTACTTCCACTCTATGTCTATAAACTTCCAGTAAATGGAATAATTTTTATGTTTTGACTACATAGATTAGGGAGAGAGGACATAACCTATATATATATATATATATGAAACTATTAAGATCTCCCAACATAATCCTAATAGAATATACAATCCTAATCAAAGTGGATTTAACCACACTTAAGCCAACCATTTTTAACACAAGCCCAATCAAATACTTAATGATCACTCCCTTTTAAATTTAAACCTTTTGGATTATAAAGTTAACCCAAATATTGTTAGGATTTAACCACACTTAAGCCAAACCCATTTAACAAGCCCATCAATACTTAATGATCACTCCTTTTAAATTTAAACCTTTTGGATTATAAAGGTTAACCCAAATATTGTATAAAACCAAATAAAACACAATCAATAAGGCCAAATAAATAAATTTCTAACATTCCCCCACTTGGGCCTATTTCATTGTTAATTTTATAATAAAAATTTTATTTAGAAAACGACTTTTGGGTTAGCAAACAAGAAAACTTTTATGTGGCTGCTCATTTAACAAAAACATCATAATCCAAAAGAATGCTCCAAGCATCACAGTTCTATCCAATAAACAACTAATGTCGAAATATGGTGATCTTTGTATCAACTTAGATACAAGATAATCTATAATTAAAAAACTAATTTATTTATTTACATGAACTACGTGTGTTTTAATATGCTGTGAAAATTAGCACCATCATGTGATCAAAATATGATAATTTCAACTTTATCCTGCTTTCAGTCTCTCACGAGACTCCATTAATGATTCACCAAAAAGCTTGATAAACAATCATGCTTAAGTACAACTTAAGACTTTCTAAAATCTGCAGAAATCAAATTATTATATGCAACATTTTATAAACATATATAAATTTCATAATGATAATCATTAATAATTATATCAAGCAACAATATCTTAAAACAAGATATAAATCTGTTATTATGAAAGGAGTCATATAACAAAGCAATGGTTACAACCAAAAAAAAATCTCACTAATCAAGAATAACAAAAGACTCAATTATACCATATTCATCACATGAATTTTAAAAGTCTCAGGAGCAATTGCGTTAGTCCCAGAATCTATCAACATGTCTCTAGTTGAAATATGTTCTAACTCTATCTCTTTATTCTTTACCATCTATCTCTTGAACAGTGAGAAAATTTATTCGAATATCTTAGAGCCACTGGAGTCTTTATTATTGTTAGAGAAACACACAGTTGTCATGGTATCACAATATATTTCCATTGGCTTAGAAATAAAATCAATTACCATGAGCCCAGAAATAAAATTCTTTAGCCAAATAAAATGAGTTGTTGTCACCATAACATGCAATATACTTAGCATGATAATAGATGAAGCTATAAGAGACTGTTTAACGCTTTCAAGATATAGCCCCACCAGTTAACATGAAAATAAACTCTGAAGTGGATTTCATATCATCTACACAACGAATCGGAGTAACCCATCACCTCAAGTTCTTTAAATTGCCAATGAACAAGCATATAATCTCTAGTATGCTTTAAATACCGCATTAATTTCTTAGCAACCACCCAATGCTCCCTTCAGGATTAGACATGTATCTACCAAGCACACCCACAAGATAAGAAATATCAGATCTAATGCATACCTGTGATTTATTAAATTTCCCAGTGAACTAGAATAAGGGATATTAACCATAGATTACTTCTCAATTTCATTCTTGGGACATCGATTCTTACTAGATTTGTCTCCTTTTGTCATTGGCACATGCCAAAGCCAAAGCTTATAATTCTTCTTATTGACACGTTTGAGTACTCTATCTATGTAAGACCTCTGTGAAAATCCAAAAATTTTTCTAAACGTATCTCTAATGATTTCAATCCCCAAAACAAAGATGGCTCACGTAGGTGATTCATATAAAAAGTTTTGGACAATTAGCTCATTTAAAGACTAACTATTACCTATTTGGAAAAAAGAGTCACTTTTTGTTCATGCTTTCTGCTCGAGATTCGGCTTAAAAGCAAAAGGGTAGAGTTTAGGAAGAGAGAGAGAATCATTTAGGGAAAGAAAGAGTTGAACGACAAATAGAGAAACCAAAGAGATAGGAGATGTTTTGTATTTAAAGAAAGAGAAAAAAAATCTCTTAAATTTAAAATTTAATATATTCTATTTTTGTTGATAATTTAGATTTAGAACTTAATATATCGTGTTATTGTACACAATCTATATAGATTTAAATTTTAAAATTTTAATGTTTATATTCTATTTTTGTTGATAATTATAGATTTATAGAACTTAAATATATCGTGTTTGTTATTGTACACAACTATTATAGATAAAAAAAATTTTATAAAAGGAAATAAGAAAATTAAAGAAAAGAGGATTAAAGATTTACGAAAATGTATATGGACGAAAAAAATTAAGAAATATTATAACTCCACACCGAACACAATATAATCCCCGCGAATAACAATACTTGTTATCTGTTAATGGCAATTAGTAATACAAGATTGGTCTTTATGAGAGTAAGGTGGTATTTTATATAGAGGTAAAATATAATTTTTTCTGCAAAATTAATTTAAATCCTCTATGGGTTGGAAAAATATCGTCTAAGTCCTTAACTTATTCCTTAATTTATTTTAATATCATATCATGTCGTTTAAAAAGTGAATTATTTAATTCAAAAACGTCAAAATAAATACACAGCTTTAATTTAATTTATTTATTTTCTATCATATTGCCATTCATCTAAAAAAGTGAGCATATTCCCATTGAAAGTGTTTATAGTGACCGAAAACAAGTTTTCATTGTATTTTATGAAAATACTACGAAAGTATTTAATTGAGGATTTTTTTTTTTTTTTATTTATTTTATTTTTTTTTGAGAATAGATGAAAAATTAAATTGAAGTTATTCAACAAATCAGATTAACAAAATAGATTCACTTCATCTCATTTATCTTACAAAAAAAACACAACAACACTGCAGTTTCAAGCTTTTAGGGAGTTCAGAAATAGAGGGGGAAGGATGGACAAAATGGAAAAAAATCTTTCAAAGAGTAGCGAGTCGCAGCAGGAGATTCATGTACTGCAGAGGTTACCTACAGTAGCTCTTACCTCATCACTTTGTTGTAAGCACACTCTAGCAACATACGCCACAGAACTACCCTAAGTACAAAACTGCTTTTCACCAAAAATAGGGCAATATCTCAATGAGGAAGCCCAAAACCATCTACCAAATTCCGTGCCTTGAGAAGGCGTTCGCAAGAAAAGCTTCTGTTCATACTCTAATTTAGTCCAAATTCGTGTTGCCAAGCCTGCAAGAGCGTTTCAAACCACAGCATACAGTTTCTTCCCAATCCCATTCGAGGCTTCTCCAATTAACTGTTGGTTGTTTTCCTTAGGGTGTGATTCCAGGAACCGGAGGAACAAGACGGCTTGGGCCGTCTTACTTTTCGACCAATATAGTTGATTGTTAGAAAATAATCCAGCAATTGAGGAGCACTCTAGAAGCAGCCACACCAGTTGAACCCACAAGGATCGACCACTCTCGCATCCAAAACGATCTTCATATTCTCCTGTCAGTGCATTTGAAAAACTATTCTCCAATCAGGAACATCGGATTTATCCCACCACAAGTTCCTCCATTCAACCAGCATTTGTCGCCAATTGTTTTTGCAGGTGCAAGAAGTGCCTGAAACCAGGATCATAAGATAACTTGCAATCAGGAAGATTCATCAGGTCTCAAGTTCAAATTCACCTAAAGTAGAGTGGACATAAGAAGGGAGCTACCTTCCAATTGTGCCAGCTTATTCTTAAATTCATATACAAAAAAAAAAAAAAAAAAAAAAAAAAAAAAAAAAATGAGGAACTGGCAGAAGTGAAGGACATTTCCATCCAAAATAATTATTTAGAGCTATTTTAAGTATACAAACAGTTTTTCAACAGATAAAAAAATTTTGGCACCATTTGCAACTGAGATGTTAATATTAGGAAGCCATCTCCTGCTCTAGAACTTGTCTAGGGCAAAAACTGGCATTTCCAAGCCATCTTTTCAGCAGATGCGTCTGCTCTAATTAGTAATGCCCAAAAGCTTCATTGAACCAATGAAAGGACTTTGCACATCACATATACACACATTCTACACTTCATATATGCATTATATAGCACCAAGTTTTGAATACAAACTACTTCTTCTGCATATATGATAATTTCACACCTGAAGATAATTTTGAAATGCAAAAGCAGA